GTGACTAGCCATGTCGGTAATTGTTGACTATCTGGTTGGGGTCCGCGAGATGATAATAATCGATGGTTAGAGACCTTGAATGACATGGCTTTGTGTTCTCTCAAATCCTAATCTTCTGGGTTCTTCAACACCTCTAGTTTTGTCTTTCTAAACTTATCTCACTGAATCATACTTCTTGAAAGATATCTTCTAATCCTAACCTATCCGATTACTTCTAATACCTCCTTTACTACCTCTACTACTACTACTGGATTTGAATTGACAATGACATCTCTGTGCTAATGTGGTACGTATGGCAACATGAACACTGATGTACTTACGTACGTACGAAGTTCTACGTTGCATCTTACTGACTGACTGACTAATTGATTGAATGGCCCCCACCCATAATTTAAGAGAGTAGGCAATTCATTTGAACAATTTAAATAAAACAAAACAAAACAAAAAAAAATAAACATACGTCTAAAGCACGATGAAAAGCTTTCACAGCTGTCTCAAAACTTTTACGTAATAAATATGCTTCCCCCAAAATTTCCCAATATAATCTAAAATAAAAACACAAAATTTATAAAACAGACATTTTTTTAAATGGTTATTTTTTTATTACAAATCACAGAAAAATTCCACATGTCAAAAACACATATGTGGTGCGCGCTACTTATAAGTAGTATGTGACGCGAATGTAAACGTAATGTCTGGCAGCAGCAGAAGATGGGGGAAGATCAAGAAAGGAAGAGTTAGAACACAATCGAATTTGTATGAAACGCATGAATAGTGAGTGAAATGTCAGACAACGGATTGATGATGGATTGAAGATTTGCAAATTAACCGTTTACGATATGGTTTACCTATTTTACTGAGTAACTCTGTAATTTTCGTTAAATACAATTCGGTTGCCCTCACCTGTGTTCTCCTTCAGTACACATATAATCATTAGTAAGTATGAGAAGTTTGTCATCTAATCAACACCATACTTACGATGTTACAACTTGGTAGGTATCAACGAATGGGACATACAACAACAGGCGCTCAAGCCTAGTTAACTAGAAGAACAAGAAGTCCAAAGTTAATATGAATATCAGTCAATCAGTTGCAACGTTTGATGGAGAGATGCCTTGGAGGACATTAACACCTTTCTTTACATATCTGGGCAGCAGCATCATCAACAATCAAGGTGGATCCGATGCACATGTGAGGATGCGGATTGGCAAAACAAGGGCTGCATTTCTACAATTGAAAAATATCTGGAACTCAAAACAACTTTCAAACAAAACCAAAATCAGGATCTTTAATACAAATGTCAAGACAGTTCTACTGTATGGAGTGGAAACTTGGAGAACTATGAAAGGCATCATCCAGAAGATACAAGTGTTTGTTAACAGTTGTCTACGCAAAATACTTCGTATTCGTTGGCCAGACACTATCAGCAACAACGTACTGTGGGACGCACACTACGAAAAGCACCTAACTGCGTCACGAGACAAGCCCTCACATGGAACCCTCAAGACAAAAGGAAAAGAGGAAGGCCAAAGAATACATTACGCCGAGAAATAGAGAAAGATATGAGAGGAATGAACAAACATTAGACGGAACTGGAGAAGGAAGCCCAAGACAGAGTTGGTTGGAGAAAACTGGTGGGCGGCCTATGCTCCATTGGGGGTAACAGGCGTAAGTAAGTGAGTAAGTAAGTTGCAACGTACAACTGCGTACGTACGTCCGTCAGTCAGTTCAAGTTGCCATACCATATTAGCACAGAGATGCAATTGTCAATTCAAATTCCATAGTAGTAGAGGTAGTAGAAAGCATTAGCAGTAATCAAAAAGATCAATGATCGAGTATATCATTCGACATATGTATACCCCCCAAAGGAATCAGTAACACAACCCACTAAGAGTTCGATTAATCGATAACATATTTTTTGTAGCATATGTAAGATGTAGAGCTAAACCCCCCCCCGCCCCACAGAGAGACCTGAAGATTTTAGGTACCATTTTTAGTGCAACGTCAATATGTACTGCTGTGGTAAAGTCGCCAAACTGTAATTTCAGATTTTTAATGATCGATTAACTAACCATTGTTTGTGATTTAAAAAACTGAAAGCGTACTTGCGTAGCACTTTTTTTTTCTAAATTCAATATAGTAGTGACTGTTTATTTTTTTTCAAGCAGTACAAGCAAGCACGCACGCACATACACACACAATAAATCACAAGTTCCAAATAACTTAAAATTAAGGCATGACAAATTTTATGTTTAGTATTGAGTCTACACCAAGTTGATTTGTATTTGCTAGACAATTTTCCTTGATCGATTGATTGATTGATAGGCATCAGTGCGTTTGAAGATAATATGCATTACGGGGTTGTGAAGATTGTTAAGTTACAAATTTTTGAAACCGTGAATCGATCAATGTTAGACCACCATTAGAAACCTGGAAGCACTGGACGACCGTTTCGTCCTGGTATGGGACTCATCAGTGGCAGTGCGCATCCACGACTCCTACACCCCGAAGGATTCGAACCCAGGACCTTCGTTATTGTGCGCGGACGCCCTAACCGTTAGGGCGTTCTAGTGAAATTCTAGTGGGAAGACCTGACCAGTGAAGTTCAACCTGATCGGGTGTAGACAGTAACTACCGAAGACTGTGTATGAGGTTGCGCAACTCCGTGAATTGATCATGTTAGACATTAACACCGTTAGATACCAGCCCAGTGGTCCGATGGTTAGGCGTTCGCCTACAATACCGAAGGTCCTGGTGCGAATCTTGCGGGGTGCAGGAGTCGCGGATGCGCACTGCTGAGGAGTCCCAAACCAGGACGGAACGGCCGTCCAGTGTGCTTCCAGGTTTCTTCTAATGGTGGTCTAACATTGATCGATTCATGGTTTCAAAAATAAAGATATATATGCAAATAATTGAGGTTAATTATTGTAATTATTACAAAATATAAGCCAGAGAGACTTACGCATCATTTTTAGCTAAAACAACACGTTGTAACGCTGGCAAACAATCAGATATTCGACCCAAACGTAAATTAATTAATCCATAATTAAGCCACATATCTTTTGTGAAATCTCTAAAAGCAAAAACCGATAAATGAAACAACAGTAACAATAACTTATGTTATATATAGAATAAATGGAAAAAATGGTTAGATAGAAATGGAATTTATTATTGCGTGTTTCGTCATATGTTTCGAACTCTCATCAATTTAGATTAAATTTCAATAATGCGATAATCTAAACCATGCCAATTCTGCAAAGCCATTACACGAAATACAACTACAATGGAAATTTATATACTAGCTAATTAATTACTACATATCTCACAATTTTTTTGAGTTAGTCAGCCATGATCATAGTGTAGCCTGAGGATAAATGTAAGATAGTCAGTCAGATGCAACGTAGAACTTCGTACGTAAGTACATCAGTTCATGTCACCATACCACATCAGCACAGAGATGTATTTGTCAATTTGAATTCAATAGTAGAAGAAGTAGTTAAGGTATTAGGAGTAATCGGAGAGGTTAGGATGAGAAGATATTATTCAAGAAGTATGATTCAGTGAGAAAAGTTTAGAAAGTCAAAACTAGGGGGGTTGAAGAATCCAGAAGATTAGGAGTTGAGAGAACACAAAGAATAAATGCACCGGCGCCATTGCAAACGATTTTGAGCCATATCGTTCAAGGTCTCTAACCATCGAATACTATCGTCTCACAAACCCCAACCAGGTAGTCTACATCTACCAACATCACTCAGTTCACTTGTCAGTGACTTCATGGATTTGTGCCATGTTTCGGTCTGGCCGCCCCTAGCGCTCTTCCAATCTACACCTACACCACAAAACATAGCTCGTCGAGGCAGTCGGTGGTTAGGCATTCGTAACACATGTCTCGGCCACCTCAACTGATGAAGTTTCACTACTTCATCTATTGATCTGCCATCCTTACCTAGTACTCGCTTCCTAACAACAGCATTGCTTACTCGGTTTTCCCACGATATACGAGCAATGCTTCGAATACTAGTAACCTACGAACATCTACTCTTAATGGCCATGTTTCACATCCATATAGGAGAACCGAGCGAAATGCTACGCAGTATGTATAAGATATGTATGAAGGAACACTGGAAATGAAGACTTGCGATTAAATAATGTGGTCTGTCTAGGCTGTTGTGAGCTCTGGATAGATGGTAGTTTCAATTCAATGAAAATTGTTATATGCAAACACGAAGGTTAGAGTAATTTGTAACTTAGCCAATTTATAGATTACTATTATTATTGTACAGTCTTACTGTCTAATTAATTATTAGATAACTAAACTATCAGGTTTATATATAATTCTTTTATCACAAGTTTTCCACTAACCAATACATGATTTGCTATTTCCATTTTGATTCCTGTTCACCATTTTTATCTCCATTAGACAGACACACTGTCACTTTTGGTTCATTCATGTATGATTGCTATTTTCCATTTTTATTAGGTGTGTGTGTGATTCAATCGATCTGGTTTCGTATAAATGCATAAATGAATGTATGTCTCAAATATAATAAGCATCTTCAATCTTAATAAACTGGTGATCATTATTAGTCTGGCGGGTTTTTTTTCTCTGCTTTCGAAGCTAGTTAGTATTGAGCCAGCCGGCTGTCAAGCAGTTCTCTCGCTCTTGATGCATGTTGATCAGTGTACAGACATTGCAAAAACTGCGCTTTATTCACAACGTAGATTTTATATTTTGAGGCAGAGTTTTGGAGGTTTGCGTTCTTTTACACATTTGAAATCATCAAATGGGTGAGGTCGCGCAAAATCCCTAGATCAATCAGAATTAGACATTAACACCATTGTTAGATGCCGGCCCAGTGGTCCGATGGTAAGGCGTTCGCCTACAATGCCGAAGGTCCCGGGTTCGAATCGTGCGAGGAGTAGGAGTCGTGGATGCGCACTGCCACTGATGAGTCCCATACCAGGACGAAACGGCCGTCTTTCAGTGCTTCCAGGTTTCTAATGGTGGTCTAACAATGATTAATGGTTGATGATTTCAAATGTGTAGATTTTATAATGGAAATTTTTTTTCAGAATAATTGAAACTCAATACTCATGTTATCATAAAAAAATTTAAAAATCTTGAGAGGTACTACTAACTAACTATAAAGCGGTCAACATCAATAATATAAACGACAACAGCAACAATAAAGAGCTGAATTTTTATTAATTATCCAAATAAAATAATCTTCACTCACGTATGATCAACAGATGAATAAGCATCTAACGCTTTCTCCTTTAATAAAATAATAAGAAAATAAGCATTTAAAATTAACTTATTAATAACAGTATATGAAGACAGAAACATAACTGTTTTCATTCAACAGAAAAGTCAACAAATCAGAATAGGTAGATGGATTTACACATTATGAAAATATTATGTTCGTAACTAGGTACGCTTGAAGCTATATTACGAGTTCACCTTAGTCGATAAACGCGAACGAGACAATAATTACCAGCGTCCAGGTAGGCTAACTTGAATCCCCAAAGCGAGTAAAAGGCTTTGTAAGCGTAGAAAGTATATTCTACAAACACACAGCAATCACAGTACAATCAAGCATACAACTCTCGTTTATTTATACATCATAGAAACATCCTTGGGACAGTTATAAAAACAGCATACTAAAATACACAGCAGCCAATCACAGCCATGGATTTTCCTGGTGGGAATTGAAATCTCAAGGTCAACTGATCAGCCCATGCCGGCAAACGTAGAGTCCAAAATAAGGCAATTAACAAGCGAATTTTCGGGATCTAACATCCCAAACAGAAAACGAAAATAAACCAGTCGTTTAGAAATAGCTTTCTTTTCTGAAGAAGTGAATACTGCACAGCCGTTCGCTTTGTCCTACTTTATGGCTGTGAAACATGGCCAGTTAGAGTAGAATAGATTCGTAGGTTACTGGTTCTCGATCATACATGTCTCCGATGCACTGCTCGTTTTTCATGAGACTATCGAGTAGACAATACAGTTGTTAGGAAACAGGTACTAGGTAAGGATGACAAATCAATAGATGAAGTATTGATACTTCATCAGTTGAGGTGGTTGGGACATGTGTTACGAATTCCCAACCACCACCCGACCGAAGCTGCTACCTTGACGTGGTGGTCGGGCTTGCCTATCGTGATGACCCAACCGAGCTATACTGGCTGGAACACATGTTCCTGCAGGTCCTACCATGCCAGACAGGTCGATTGGAGAACGATGAGACTAAAAGCAACTACCCAAGGTCTGAGGGCGAAGTCGTACTGATGACTGCAGAGGGATGTGACAGAAGTAAGGTGTTTCCCTCAGACAACCAGCATCTGCAGTGATGCTGCCTTCTCACAAGGAAGCAAGGGTTAGAAAAGGTCGACCCTAAAAATGTCACACCTCGCCTAACTACTCACGGATTTCCGTCTCCTTGGGTAAGGGTGCCCACTAAGGGCCTTTAAGAACAGAGCTAATCCTCAAAAAACGTTTCATGAAAAGGCCGTGCGTGACCGGCCTCAAGCAGTTGTCCCTTGGACTCTGCGGTCACGCAACCAGGTCTCCGAGACCAACACTAATCTATCTTCCTTTTCAGGTCCCTCAAGAAGCAACTTTCCACGGTGTGGGCAGCCGGAAAGTGATAACCGCCCTCATACCCCCTCCCAACCACCGACTGCCTCGAAGAGTGATGTTTTGTGTAGGAGTAGGTAGAAAGAAAGATAGGGACGGACGGCCAGATCAAAACATGGCACAAATCCATGAAGTCACTGAGAAGTAGATTGAGTCGTGTTGGTAACTGTCGACTACCTGGTTGGGGTTCGTGAGACGATAGTATTCGATGGTTAGAGACCTTGAATGACATGGCTCAAAACCGTGAGCAATAGAGCGTTTTAGCGTTTTTTTTGGCAAGTTAGTTTTTGACGGAATGGGGTCGCCAACCCCATGTCCAACCCTCCTCCTTTACCCGGGCTTGGGACCGGCAGTAGCCCCGAAGGTTCTACTGGCGGAGTTGTGAGCAATAGAGCAGGTGCATTAATTCTTTGGCTACTCTCAAATCCTAATCCTCCTCTGGATTCTTCTTCAGCTTTATTTTTCTCGTTTTAAGTTCATCTCACTAGATTATACTTCATGAAAAGTAATCTTCAAAACCTAATATCTTCGATTACTGCTAATACTTCTACTACCTCTACTACTACTGTGCGATTTGAATTGATAATTGCGTCTCTGTGATAATGTGGTAAGGCAACTCGAACTGATGTACGTATGTACGGAGTTCTACGTTGTAACTGACTGACTGACTGACATATATGAATAAGAGTATTTGTTCATATTATTTGGTATTCCAATAAACTCCTACTGTCGTTTGCAATCTCGGTCAAACAGCCAGTTTTTTGTAGAGGTGTTAGGGCTTATTACTTTGATCTCTTCACTGAACATAAGAACAGATTCTAGAGATGGATTGTAGGTCGAACGAAAAAAAAGTAAAATTTCAGAATGTTAATCTCAGTAGATCAGCTTAAATTCGCTTTGCAGCAACAGCAAAACGAATTCCAAACATCTCAATTGAAAATGATGGGAACGATGACACAAAAGTTTTCAATTCAAGAAAATTCAGTCCAAATGTCTGGATTAAGGGGCTCAACTAACAAATCACTGACTAATTCAATAGGCAAGACCTTATAATGCATGTGTCACATTTGAATCTCCGTCAGTCAACAACCAACTTAGAACTCAGTATATATCACATTAGCGCACAGAGATAAAATCATCCCAAAGCAGTAGAGGAAGCAACAGTATTAGTAATGATCGAAAAGATTATGGATCGAAGATAAAATTCAAGAAGTGTATCCCGGTAAAATAAATTTAAGAGGAGAAAAAATGTCATGGGGAATTCAAAAGATTAAAATTCGAAATATATATATATATATATATATATATATATATATATATATATATATCAGTCAGTAAGTCAGCTGCAACGTAGAACTTTGTACGTATCTACGTTGCCATACCACATTGACACAGAAACGCAAATGTCAAATCAAATCCCATAGTGATAAAGATAGTAGAGATATTAATGCAAATGAAGAAGACTAGGGTTCGAAGATATTATTCAAGAAGTATAATTCAGTGAGGTAAGGTTACAAAGACAAAGGTAGAGGTGCTGACGAATCCAGTGAGATTAGGATTTGAGAGAGCACAATGAATGGATGTACTTGCGCTATTGCAAACGATTTTGAGCCATGTCCTTCAAGGTCTCTAACCACTGGTGACTTTCGTCTCGCGGACCCCAATCAGGTAGTCTACATCCACCAACATGACTCAGTCCACTTGTCAGTGACTTCATGGATTTCTGCCATGTTTTGGTTTGGCCGTCCCTAGCGCTCTTCCAACCCATTCTTACACTACAAAACAAAGCTCGTCGAGGCAGTCGGTGGTTAGCCATACGTAACACATGTCCCAACCACCTCAACTGATGACGTTTCACCACTTCATCTATTGATCTGCCATCCTTACCTAGTACTCGTTTCCTAACAACAGCACTGCTTACTCGGCTGTCCCACGATATACGAGCAATGCTTCTTAAACATCTATGGTCGATTACTAGTAACCTACGAACACCTTCTACTCTTAACGACCGTGTTTCGCATCCATATAGGAGAACGGAGAGAACTGCTGTGCAGTATATATATATATATATATATATAATATTCTAAAAGGAATGACACGAATCATGAAACTCACCCATTCCTCTTCTCTACACAATGCCACTGAATAGTAATAAGCACAAACTGCCGAACCAGGCATCAAACGATGGGCTTCAGTATAGAATTTCAATGCCTCTCTGAATAAATAGATTAGGAAAGATAAAACGAATATAAATGTGTGTACTGCTGGGATCTTTAAAAAGTATCTACGTAATTTATGCAGCGATCATATAGGGATAAGTCTGTTCGCAATCACTTTCAAACTGTTGGCTTCACTCATACCCTACAGACTGTATATATAACCCATTAAAGACTAATTCGGGAGAAATGAATTAATTAATCACATTTTCATGTGACTAATTCCTGTAATACGTTACACCTGTGTGTTTGGTATCAGAGCTGCCTTCGAATTGCTAGATAAGGACTAATCATACCAAATAGATGTGAATGACATCATTATGACAGGCTAATAATCCAACTCTTCCAGGTAAGTCAGTCAGTTACAATGTAGAACTTTGTACTTACGTAGATCAGCTGAAGTTGCTATATCACATTAGCAATCCCATAGTAGTGAGAAGACTGAGGCAGGCGAGGAAGATTGTATTATGCAAATTTATACTCTGAGTCAATTAAAAACGAAAACATTACATTGAATACTCTATTTGCACACCATCTTTGAGTCGTGACTTCCAACACTCCATCCTTCTTCCATTTCTGTTGTTGCTTCCTTTCCTTCTTGTTGGTACTCCATTTACTTCTTGCTTTTGCTCCATTTGCTTTCCGTTTTCCTCTTCCGACCGTGAGACTTCTTCTTTTACGTCCCTTCTTATACTACTTATATCGTTCGTATAAGTAGCACACACCACAGTAGTAGACGTAGTAGAAGTATTAGCAGTAATCAAATAGATTAATGATCGAATATATCATTCGACATATGTATACCCCAGAGGAATCGATTAAAAACCAGAGAAAAACGACCATGAGGAATTCAGAAGATAACGAAAGAACAGTTGGTCGTGGAGATAATAAGAAAGTTAGTAGGAGGCGTAGAAAAGATTTAATTCTGACCGATTCGGTCTCGTGTGCTTTCACCGGCAAACTGTTGTGTTTTCCACCATCAAAATTATACTTCAAACGTAAGTAATGCTTTAAAAGTTAATGATACTTGATTACTGATTAGCACTAACATCATTAAACTATTTCAAATACAGTCCACGTACACTATACATAAAAAATTATAATATAAGAAATGTGAATAATTGTATGTATAAAAATAGTTGTAACCAAGTGATTAGAAGGAAAATGACAAGTTATTCACATACATACTTCATTCTCTAATTAACTCAACTACTATAGTTGATTGGTTAGTGGAACATACAAAATCAAATATAGAAGAATTGTGCGACATCCACACATTCGAACCGACACAACTATTTCTCCCAAAATGTTCAGTAAATACCAATGTTGGTTCAAACATATTTTACACACACACACACACACACAAACAAAACAAATTCTTACTTGTAATTCTCCATTTTAAAATGTATATGACCCAGCTGTAAATAATTCGCATAATAACACTTATCAAATTGTATACCACGAGTAAATGCTTCTTCCGATTGTTTATCACAATCCATAGTAGTTACAGGAGGACAAGTTTTACTAGAATTTGCATAAAATTTCATTACATATCCAATTAAATATTGATAACGAGCTGAATGATGTATGATGGTAGTATTTGTTTTTAATAAATCTAAAATTTCATTTTCAATAGATAATTGTGGTGTTGTTTCTGCTACAAATAATAAAAGTGTCAAGTGACAGTAGAAAAACAATAAATAATCATATATAATAAAAAAAATCTATTAGTCACAAGTCAGTCAGTCAGTCAGATGCAACGTAGAACTTTGTACGTACGTAAGTACATCAGTGTTCATGTTGCCATACGTACCACATTAGCACACAGAGATGTAAATGTCAATTCAAATCCAGTAGTAGTAGAAGAGGTAGTAAAGGTATCTGCAGTAATCGGAGAGGTTAGAATTAGAAGATATTATTCAAGAAGTATGATTCAGTGAGAAAAGTTTAGAAAGTCAAAACTAGAGGGGTTGAAGAAACCAGAAGATTAGGAGTTGAGTGAACACAAAGCCATGTCATTCAAGGTATCTAACCATCGATTATTATCATCTCGCGAACCCCAACCAGGTAGTCGACAATTACCGACATGACTCAGTCCACTTGTCAATGACTTCATGGATTTCTGCCATGTTTTGGTTTGGCCGCCCCTAGCTTTCTTCCAACCTATTCCTACACTACAAAACAAAGCTCGACGAGGCAGTCGGTGGTTAGGCATACGCAACACATGTCCCAACCACCTCAACTGATGAAGTTTCACCTACTTCATCGATTGATCTGCCATACTTACCTAGCACCCGATTCCTAATAACAGCGTTGCTCACTCGGTGTCCCACGATATACGAGCAATGCTTCGAAGACACCTGTGATCGAAAACCAATAACCGACGAGTATCTTCTACTCTCACTGGCCATGTTTCACAGCCATAAAGTAGGACGGAGCGAACTACTACTGCGCGGTACACTCGTCCTTTAGTCATAAGCGAATTAGCACAACAAGATGAAATTATCATATTCTGCGACATAATACTAATCGATGCTAAGAGATCTTCAATGACATGAGCTTAAAACTGCTTGCAATGGTACAGGTGCATTCATTCTTTGCGTTCTCACATGATCGTTTTTTCTCTTTTTCAACTGATTCCTTTTGGGGGGGGTATACATATGTCGAATGATATATATTCGATCATGAATCTATTTGATTACTGCTAATGCTTTCTACTATCTCTACTACTATGGAATTGGAATTGACAATTGCATCTCTGTGTGCTAATATGGTATGTATGACGACATGAATTGATGAAGTGATGACGGACTGACTGAATAATGTATTCTACTCTCTATCATAAAAAATATACTTAATTTTACAGATTCATATTCACACATGACTAAATACATGAATAACTGTGTGATCCATGTGAATTGTTTTGATATTAGCCATTTAGTTATAAGCTTTTAGTAAAATCGAATAGTAACTAATAGTGAATTCTAGGATAAGCGTTTCCAGCTACCTCATTTGATTAGCTACTAGATATGGAAGAGCTTGAGAATGAATAAGTGTTTATGTCCTGATTGTTATCTAGTAGTCTACATGTCAATTGGTAAATAGGACACTAGTTTAACTGGTAATATTGTGGTGTGAGCTACTTATAAGTAGTATATGACGTGAGTGTAAACGTAATGTCTGGCAGCAGCAGAAGATGGGGTTAGATCAACAAGAAAGGAAGAGTTAGAAGAACACAATGGAATTTGTATGAAACGCATGAATAGTGACAATCGATTGATGTTTTGCAACAGGAACAGTCCAGTTCGATATGATGAACTGATCTTTTGCAAATTAACGATTTACGATATGGTTTTCCGATTTTACTGAGTAACTAACTCTGTAATTTTCGTTAAAAACAATCCGGTTGTCCCACCTGTGTTCTCGTTCACTCCCAATATAAGTGAATGAATCGATCATCGGATTAAAGGTAGAGATATCATAAAACTGCTCTACTGTCATTAAAGTCTGATTGTATACAAGCCAATTCAATTGATGAAGAGGTTAACTTACCGTCGGAATTTTTCATTAATTTGGAAGCAACATGTTTAGATAGATTTAACCATATTAGACATATTCGAAATCGTGGAGATAAATCAATACTACTAGGAATTCTTTCATTTATTTGACACTTATGATGCGTTTTCCATTTTTCAAGAATATTCGATGTTTCGTTTAATTTATTCATAATTAAGAAGTATTCCAAGTATAAAGTTTGATAGACATCTATCCAAGTGAATGGGGTCTAAATAAAAAAAGGAATGTTTTTTTTAATTAGAGTATTTGGACGAACAGTTTAAATGAAACTGGGTGCTGAGTATATATATATATATATATATATATAAAAGACAAACCAAAACATGGCTTAAATCCATGAAGTCATTGACGAGTGGACTTAGCCATGTCGGTAATTGTCGACTATCAGGTTGGGGTCCACGAGATGATAATAATCGATGGTTAGAGACCTTGAATGACATGGCACAAAATCGTTTGCAATGGCGCCGGTGCATTTATTCTTTGTGTTCTCTCAAATCTTAATCTTCTGGATTCTTCAACACCTCTACTTTTTACTTTCTAAACTTTTCTCACTGAATCATACTTCTTGAATAGTATCTTCTAACCCTAACCTCTCCGATTACTTCTAATTCCCTTACTACCTCTACTACTATTGTATTTGAATTGACAATTATATCTCTGTGCTGATGTGGTATGGCAACATGAACTGATATACTTACGTACGAAGTTCTACGTTGCATCTGACTGACTGACTGACTGATATATAAAAGACATTGTATTGAAAACTTATTTTTGAGATAATCTCAGTGACTTGATATTCAAGTAATTCCAATAAGCTTCTTTGAACGTTTTTTTTTCAGGGCATTATTCAAAATTACATCTAATGAATGTACTTTTAATACTGTTTTCTCAAAAAAAAAATTGTTGTTAGTCTAATAACGATTGACAGGTATACTGAAGTAACACACGTTGTGGAAGCTAGTGGTGACAGAACAGCAGGAATGAGCTGTTCATTCAGTATACAGTAGAAAATCAGAACTATTATGGTGCGAGCTACTTATAAGTAGTATATGACGTGAGTGTCAACGTAATGTCTGGCAGCAGAAGATGGGGGAACATCAAGAAAGGAAGAGTGGGAACAAAATGGAATTTGTATGAAACGCATGAATAGTGACAACAGGAACAGTCCAGTTCGATATGATGAACTGATATTTTGCAAATTAACGTTTTACGATATGGTTTTCCGATTTTACTGAGTAACTCTGTAATTTTCGTTAAGAACAATCCGGTTGTCCCACCTGTGTTCTCGTTCATTACACTATCCGTTACGTAATCAATGTTTTAATCACTTAACTTTAATAATGCTCAAATACATTTCAATAATTATTATTAACTAAAAGAGAGATTTTCAACGACAATGCAATAGCTAAGATCGACTTGATGATTAGTAGCTCGGTTTATTTAATCAACTCCATAAATCTGTAAACTATTGCAGATTAACTGTGTATGGGCTATTTATATAGAGAAAATAGCCACACAACAAACACTGACAACTTCAGTTAAAAGTGGTAGACATAAATAATTATTTAAACAGTTTTGATTATTACGCTTTGTGTAATGGACTACAATCACAACACATAACCACAGATGCACATGATTGGTCAAGAAATGGCTTTCTTTTCTAACGAATAAGACATGAACCACTCACTGATAGCTTTAAATCCCTGATGGATATATATATATATAACTTTTTTTCCATATTTCTTGTGAGACAACAAAAATATTATTGATTTGATAATGACTATTACTGTGTTACAACGAGATCCTTAATATTCAATATGCAATATAGATAATGAGATGGAATAAACAACTTTCTATGTTTAATTAATTAGTCATTCAGTGATTGATAATCAAGGTACGACCTGATACAAATTTGCTTAGTTTTTATTCATGACGAAAAAATCAATGTAACCCATATATGAAGTGTAAGTTTATGTACTAAATTTGGAATCACACAGTTTGTGGGAGAATTCTTCTTCATTGGTTCTTACGAACAAAGTAGATGAAGTTGTAGTAACCAACTGTCCTGAAAGCCTTATGATTCAACCATAAAGATACTTTTCCAAGTATATTAATATATATAGAACATACAAGATATTAATTTACTATTATACTGGTTTTAAACAGAACTTGACACTATATAGGCTTGTTAAGACCGGAATGGTATATCATCATTCCCTGATGCACACTATCGAAGTCTTTTTATTCCCAAATATATAAACGCGTTAGTCGCCTTAGACACGAATATATGTTTATTCCTTTATAAAATTAACGTTATTTGGGGTTTCCTCACGTGAATTCGAATCCAATCCACGTCGTCAGTTGATATACTTGGAACATTACGAGTTTATCTTACTCGGTAAACGTAATGAAGATCAATGATTCAGTGACACAATAGGCTACTCTAATCCGATCGTTCCAGACCCCACTACTAGAAGAAGTCTTGATAAGACACGTAGGAAATGTATTCCACAGGCACCAAGAAAGTATGAAGTCAACAAGCACACAAATGAAGCTTATTTATACAATCATAAAACGCCCTTAGTGAGAACCACAAAATAGCGTACTAAAATAATTCATCAACCGATGACAGTCAAGGGATTCTCGTGTGGGAAATGCAAGCTGAAGGTCAAAATAAGCAACCATCTTTGGCGCGAAAACATAGAATTCCGAATCTCAAAATTACAAAATTAGATAGAACCTTTGCCAAGTGAGTTCTGGCGATTTAACATCTCCAACAATTTTCGCTTTTGAATTTCGATCTCAAGCGTATCTTTATCATGTAGTTAGTTACACACTTCGATAGATTGAACACAATAGTTTTTTATATCCCTTGTTCATTGGTCAATAATGTACACCTGCAGTTTGACGATTTTTAAAACTAATAAAATGTATTGACATGCCATTCGTATTTGGATATTTCTAAGTGATATAATTGTAGCAACCACAACTAAATGATAACAACCATACATGAGTAGTATAAAATCATTGCGTGCATGTGTTTATTGCAAACACAAATTCAATATTTCTTCTGTCTTTAGAATGTAAACACTAATAATGAATAAATCAACTAGATTACGTCAAATCATAGATCTATGAAATAAATTCATAAAAATTTGTAAATAAGGGTTGGTTTTAAGTAACCACATGTTAGGATATTCACCAAATATCCTAAGAAAACTATTTTTAGAAGTACAATCCTATTGGCCGAAATTATGATCGTTCTAACCGTCAAGGTCAAATACTTCAATGTTGCCTCTTATTGGTCATCTGGACTGTCAATGTCATTCAAATGTTCTTTTCTATTGGTCATCCTAAACTGTCAATGTCACAGACGTTGATGCTCTTTCGTATTCGACCTTAATGTATAAATACGCACTATCTGAAAGACTTAATAATTCCGTTTCTCCTGCCTACCCCTTCTTCTGTATTCGACCCAATAAACAACTTCCGTCCACGGTGTTGCGTTCTGATATCTAGGAGATTTGGAAATAGCATTTTGGGTCGTATTGGGATATTTGAATTGGATGCCGTTAGGACTGAAGAGCTATACGTAGCAGCGTTACAACACCACAACAAGGAAAAAAAGTCACTAAAAATATATATTAGAAAATCAAAATGTTGATTAACTATGTAATTAATTTAAACACTTACGCAGTTTGTACCTTCCAACTGATGTAAAATCACTTCAATATTTCTAGTATTTTTCACAGGCATTTCGGAATTACAGAGATTAGCCATGTATAATATGCCTAACCAAGAATTAATCATTCTATATACATTACATTTGGTTGGTATATCATTTTCCTTCGGTTCATTTAAATTTAAACGAAACGGTGTACATAGTGTGCATTGTTGAGAGTCATTTGGATTTGATGAATATTTATTCAATTCCAATATAGGTTGAGATAAAATGTCAGATTCTGTATTAAATTGTTTACAATTTCTATCAATTAAAGATATTACTAAAATAATAAAGAAAAGTAGAAATGATTTATGTGGTATAATGAAGACAAGTAGTGCAGAGAACTATAACTTTCAAGACTATCTATCAAATAAAGGATTACAATGCATATTTTTTTTATTGTATAAATAGTCGACATTGATATATATTTTCACATTTTATTTCTAAACTTTCAACTGACATGTAAATTCTTGTCATGGTCTTGTTATTCTAGATTTATCAATAACTACTATTCCCTTAGTAACCCGATGTGTATCACTTATAGTAATTTCGTAGATGTGTTTCAGCGTCAGTCAGTCAGTTACAAGGTGGAACTTCGTACGTACGTACATTAGTTCAAGCTGCCATACCATATTAGCACTGAGACACGATTGTCAGTTCAAATCCCATAATGGTATTAGCGGTAAAGGCGAAGATTAGCTGCTACCTCGACGTGGTGGTCGGGCTTCCCTATCGTGATGACCCAACCGAGCTATATTGACTGGAACATAATATGTTCTTGTAGTTTCTACCATACCAGACAGGTCGATTCGAAAACGGTAAGACTAAAAGCAATAACTCAATGTCTGAAGGCGAGGTCGTACTGTCGACTGTCGAGGGGTGTGTGACATTAGTAAGGTATTTCTCTTGGACAACCATCATCTGCAGTGATGTTGCCTTCTCACAAGGAAGGGAGGGGTTAGAAAACGTCAACCCTAAAAATGTCACACCTCACCTTACCTCATGGATTTCCGTCTCCTGCGGTAGGACCATTTGAATAACAGAGCTAACACTAAAACTTCTCATAAAAAGACTGTGCGTGACCAGCCTCAAGCAGTTGTTTCTTGGGCTCTGCAGTCACACTCCCAGGTCTCTAAGACCTATATATTAATACGACTTTTTTTTCAGGTTCATCAAGAAACACTCTTCTACGGTGTCAACAGCCTGGAAGTGACATTCGCCTTCATACCCATAACAGCAAACGAGACTTAATCCGGTCACAGTCAAAAAAAGGTTTCAGTGTGGTCAGCTAATATAGACACATATTAATCTACAAATTATGAGGAGTTATGACTGGATGAGTACCCCCATGTTTCATAGTATCGTAGATGAGGAGAACTAAATACAAAACGTTGAAGCTGAAGCAAGTAACACGTTCATAAATTTTCGACTAGACAAACACAACATTGGTCAACGGGGTCAATCAAATGCAAATATCTATCCTAATAAAATCAGTCAGTTGCGGTTCGAATGATTTAGCAGTAACGTCTCAGACAATGTAGCTAATAATTATATAATAAGCGTTTGAATTGTATGAAGCAACATCGGTTCGCCTAATATTACAGGCACACCTTGGCCAATAATTCTCAACCAGCATAAAACCTAGCTCTAGGATTGATTTCCTGCCAACTACCTCCAACCAACTAACATCCCCCAATATAGTACATACAATCTCGAATCATTTATTTAGACTAGCGGTTTTGCATTACAGCTTCATTGTCAGAATCCGATCAGCATTACTGCAGGACCAGTGCAAACATATCACTACTACTCAGTAATCAACCAATTTTACTTAGTACATAATCTGTTAACAGAAGTAAACAATGAATAGAAGAAAAAAAATAGTAACAACAATAATTATAATGATAATAATGAGCTAGCAGCTATTTCACTTACATGTAGTAATGATTGCACCGCAATCATCGAATTGATTTAATTTAAACGCAGCCAATGCATACAAAAGTCCAGCTGAATTTTTATTCGGAAAATTAGAAATAATAATAATAATAATAATCATAATCATAAATCTTTTTGATACAACTTAAAACAAAAAAAACAATTTTACATAATATTGAAACATTATTGATTAATTCTAGGCGATGAAGCGTAGTACCATAACTATGTGATACATCTGTAACGCATTCGAAACCCTTACTCTATCAACTCCTAGGCTTCGTTTATCAGTTTGTCTTAATCTCACGTTGGCTTTATTTATATCTGATTGCTGTCTATTTATTTATTCGTATATTGCATGTGTAAGTGCATCATTCTATGTGCTTACTGAGTCGTCCGTCGGCTCATCTTATTTTTCTCTTGTTCTTTCATCTTCCAGATAATCTCATACGCTGCTCCTCACATCCCCTCCTAGCACACAAGGTACCTTCGGGCTAAACGCAAACCAACCAAAGGCTGAAGTTACACATCAATGGTTGAATATTGTACCGATAAACATCGATTCGAATAATCTAACATGAGTGGAAGACAGATATTTTCAGGGGTTGACCTTCTACCAGGAAAGTCGCTTACTGATCTAGAATATGCCGATGACATAGTTCTATTCGGTGAAGACGCTGACAAAATGCAGAGTCTTCTGACTACCATAAGCAACAATGCGAGCATGTTCGGGATGCGGTTTTCCCCCTCGAAATGCAAAATGTTGCTTCAAGACTGGATTGCATTGGCACCTGAACTAGTGATAGGGAGTGAAGTAGTCGAGCGTGTTGATCACTTCACTTATCTGGGGAGTCTCATCAGTGCTGACGGTCTGGTGACTGACGAAATCTCAGCTCGGATACAGAAAGCTCGATTGGCTTTTGCCAACCTACGTCACTTATGGCGTAGGCGTGATATCCGTTCGCTAACCAAAGGGCGGGTGTACTGCGCAGCAGTTCGTTCCATTCTCTTATATGGCTGTGAAACATGGCCGTTAAGAGTAGAAGATGTTCGTAGGTTACTAGTATTCGATCATAGATGTCTCCAAAGCATTGCTCGTATATCGTGGGACAACCGAGTAAGCAATGCTGTCGTTAGGAAACGAGTACTAGGTAACGATGGCAGATCAATAGATGAAGTGGTGAAACTTCATCAGTTGAGGTGGTTGGGATATGTGTTACGTATGGCTAACCACCGACTGCCCCGACGAGCTATGTTTTGTGGTGTAGGAGTAGGTTGGAAGAAAGTTAGGGGCGGCCAGATCAAAACATGGCAGAAATCCATGAAGTCACTGACAAGTGGACTGAGTCATGTTGGTAGATGTAGTCTACCTGGTTGGGGTCCGCGAGACGAAAGTCATCAATGGTTAGAGACCTTGAACGACATGGCTCAAAATCGTTTGCAATGGCGCAGGTGCATCCACTCTTTGAGCTCTCTCAAATCCTAATCTTCTGGATTCGTCAATACCTCTGCCTTTGTTTTTATAATCTTATCTCACTGAATTATATTTTTTGAATAATATCTTCGAACTCTAGTCTTCTTTATTAACATTAATACCTCTACTATCTTTATCACTATGGGATTTGATTTGACATTTGCGTCTCTGTGCTAATAATGTGGTATGGCAACATGAACTTATGTACATACGTACGAAGTTCTACGTTGCAACTGACTGACTGACTGGAAGACAGATATCCATGTTCTTTCATAGGTAAACACTATTGGTTGAGAAACCAGATCATTAGATTGATCTTAACTTGATCATTGCAGTAGTGAACTAAAGTGTTCAAGAGTGGAGGAATATGTGTGTGTGTTTACTCGAGCATTGGTTGTGTTCAGTGTAAAAATGAATTATAATTTTTCCGTTACAACCACAGTAAGAAATACAAACATGCGTTGCCTACCATGATAATCGATGAGTCCATGTTTTAACAAGTTATTAAATCCAACAACTCCATTGAAATCGAGTTTGTCAATATTGCTTTGAATATCATTCCATAAGTCCGAATGTATTTTGTCATATTGATTGCTAGAAATTGTAATATCATCAACACTATCGGCTGGTGCATAATTTGGAATGAAATAACTGAATAAACGATACAACAATTGACTTAAACACAATGTAATAATATGTGCTGTTTTATTCTCATTGGTCGAATGTTGCGCTGTTTCTAACAATCGTTCAAATTGTTTTAATCGTTCAATGTAGATAGTTGACGATTTTATCCAGTGTATGCTTGAATGTTGCGTGAAATTCTCAAATTTCGATGTAATACATAAACTCCGATCAATAAATTCAGGAAATCCATTGACTGATTATTGTTATTTAAAGAAAACAGAAACATTGTAAAAACAGAAATGTTTGTGAATAAAATCATATGATATTTCACATTTATATTTATAGTGTGGTGTGAGCTACTTATAAGTAGTATATGACGTGAGTGTCAACGTAATGTCTGGCAGCAGAAGATGGGGGAAGATCAAGAAAGGAAGAGTTAGAAAACAATGGAATTTGTATGAAACGCATGAATAATGACAATCGATTGATGTTTGGCAACAGGAACAGTTCAGTTTGATAGGATGAACTGATCTTTTGCAAATGAACGATTTACGATATGGTTTTCCGATTTTACTGAGTAACTCTGTAATTTTCGTTACATACAATTCGGTTGCCCCACCTGTGTTCTCGTTCACTACAATAGTATGATGATATATATATGCTAACTTCATTAAAATCTTTATACTTTAACAAATGATATTAAATTCTCCTTTCATATCAGCACTAACTCCTTTACAATACTAAATAGCTAACGGGCATGTTGCTTCAAACACAAACCAATGGTTTAGTTGGGTAGTTCAAACCTAACTTTACTAAATCACGATCTAATTAGACAAATAATATCACTGGGTTCAGCAAGAAAGGTGTTGCTCATTAACCATTAAGTTATGATATTTTTGTTATTTCTTTAGACGGTTCTGTACACATTAATTCATTCACACTAAAATGATGAAAAAACAGGGAATTTTAATAGAATAGTGTTTCTGAACAATACCAAATAAGTGGAAGTGATTGGTAGCAGTGTGCAAAGTAGTACCACCAGTTTGTGAAGATAATATACCTTATGACTCTAGTACGTTACACCGTAAGACAAACAAAATACAAATCTGGATACTGTCAAATTAACTCACATAAGAAATATTCGATTTGTAAACGAAAAGTAGCTTCTATAGCATCTATATTCTCTGGATCATGCTCAAGAACAAATTCGCATATATCACTGAATTCATTAAAACCAAAAGGTAACTATAAAAGCAGAAAACAAATAAATGGCATTATCTTACCAAAGCTGAACGCGAAAGAAATTCAAAGTAGGTAATCAGTTTCAATAATTAGCATGTATTTCGCAAGATAATAAAAGGGATGACTTCATATGGAAATCTAGTTTCCATAATCCTAGAGTCTTAGCAATAGGTGGTGTGTCGGCTCAATGGTCAGAAGGTGAGACTTGCAGATCTGACCACATGAATGGGTAAATTAATCTATAAATGGTGGCCTACAATAAACTGATATTGTGTAATTATGTATTTATCTTCCTGACATTGCACCTTAAATAATGATTTTAGATTGGCCCATGTGAGAACAACTACACAAGTGATTTGAAAAACAAAGAAAGCGAGAAACGATCAAAATTTAACGAGAACGTTTTGAGTTGATTTGAGTCAGAAAATAGACACCTACTGAGGAACCACAAAAAACCATAGATCAATGAGTAATTATTACACTTTCGTCCTTTATGGTGGATTGTTCATTCGTGAGGCTTTCATTGTCCTCAGCAGCACAAACTACAGATAGAAGTGAGCTGTTCGAATTTCTCCATATATGACTAACAGCTTATCCTTCCGAACTTTATCTTCACAAGTTATTGTTAACCCTTAACTTGTCACCGTCTTCACATTTATTCGAATTGTTCCCTTTGGCCTGATTCATGAACCGATATTTGTTCAAGATTTTTCTAACTGGTTGATTAGTTGGATAGATTCCAATGTGTTTAATGATTGACTCAAATGATAAGCTACTAAAAACGCTCTAGTGTTCATAGTATTCCCTCTATCCAAAAGTTCAACACTTTTGAAGTCAAATGTGTTCACAATTATCCATGTGTATTGATGTAAGCAATGATATATCATCGTGTTTAACGAAGTTGACTGGAACTTTAGTTAGTTATTTTGTGCAAGTTTGAAACTTCACAGCTTTAGACATCCATATAAAGCCTTGTAGCGAGAATGAAACCTTTAGACCACTGAATTAAGATTTACCGGTTCACCATTATGGATTAAGATTTGATGAACGAGTGACAGAATGTTTAAAATGATTTATTAGAATGTTGATCGACTAACAATATGGAATGGTAAGATATGACGGGGTGATATTTGACCATGAAATAGTTGTTAACGTAGATAACTAAGAATGAGCTATATTCCACAAAACAGAGCTATTCTAGTCGTTTTTCAACTAAACGAACACACTTGTTCATTCACACTAACTCCAAAAATGTTATAAACTGTTCCCAATGAGACGTAGGTTACGTTACACACAGAAAAGTTTGTCTAATAGAAAAATAGGGTTGGATTTTAAGCAACTTGAACGGTAACTTACTGGCATTCGAAACTGAACGACAACCTGAACAAGAGTTTTTGCGTACTCGAGATATTTTCCCGTAGAGTCTGACCTGAAAAACAAGTTTTATGGTTAGCTAATAAAAGTCAATAATTGTGAGCCTATTTTATACATTTAAAAAGCAGTTAAAATTATCAAGTTATAAATGCATGAACCGATGTACGTAAAAAAAACAAAATAAAAACGTACTTTGAGCACCTTCCGATAAGCTCTATGCATACTTTAAGGAGAATTCTTTGATGTTTTTCCATTCTCTTCTTGGTTTCACTATAAAGACCCTGTTAGTGGGATGAACGGGAGAAAACTTAGTAAATATTTACCAAAAGATAGAGGCAGTTTGTAATAAACTGAATTTATAATGACCACTTGGAACAGTGTAATTCGAGTGATGCAACCAAAATAAGTTCTCATAAAGTCTGTAGTAGCTGGAGTAGGATAAAAAATCGTAAGTAGATATTTCTTAGATCATGGAATGAAGACGAAATTCAAATTGGGATGAAGTAAAGATGGAAAGTTCTACGCAAAATACTTCGTATACGTTGGCCAGACACCATCAGCAACAACGAACTGTGGGAGAGAACAAGTCAGATTCCAATGGAGGAGGAAATCAGGAAGAAGCGGTGGAAATGGATAGGACATACACTACGAAAAGCACCCAACTGCGTCACTAGACAAGCCCTCACATGGAACCCTCAAGGCAAAAGGAAAAGAGGAAGGCCAAGGAACACACTACGCCGAGAAATAGAGAAAGATATGAGAGGAATGAACAAACATTGGACAGAACTGGAGAGTGAAGCCCAGGACAGAGTTGGTTGGAGAAAACTGGTGGGCGGCCTATGCTCCATTGGGGGTAACAGGCGAAAGTAAGTAAGTAGTAAGTAAAGATGGAAAGTAAAGATACTTCATATGTTGTCACCAGTCTTATGCCCAAGCAGGTTGAGTTTACCTCTACTGTAGTTTCATGACACTGATCATAATATAGATTTCAATAAACATCAAAAAGTCACAATTTTTGAATAAACTTACAACCCAAGCCATGTTGTTAGTAGCATCAATCGAAAGCGCTGAGAAATATGATTCCATCGCTTCTTTTTCGTTTTCAAGCCGAGAACAACAGGCTCCATGCATAACCAATGTTGCATAATCCCGTGAATTAACCAACAGTTCCTAAAATTTCGATATAATTTTAGTAAGCGCTTAATTACAGTAGTAAGCTTATAACACTCTTCGAACTTCTCAGCCTGGTAGAACTCCCTGGCTTTCTTTAGGTTCATTATTAGTACTGCGATGAACGCTATATGTTCTTGTGGTTTACGTCAAACCAGAAGGTGCCTTATGTACTGGGGGAGTATTCAGAATAGCATGCGTGGGAACTAGAAATAAGGACGAAAGAAGAGGTGAGTCGACAACCCAATAAGTGCAAAAAATAAGGATAGTAATAAAAAACAATCATTATTCAACCAAGCTTCAGATTCAGTAAATCTGGATAGCACAGCCAGATGTGTAAAGATTTCAAAAACCGTTATATCATACTCTTCTGATTACGAATACCGCGCGACTTGAAGAGCTTAGGTGTAACGGAGTCAAAATCACTATGTATGATGTTGCTAACCCGTTCTGTTTACTTTCTATTTCAGGGCGATCAAACATAAACGCTTTGGAAGCTGAAGAACAAGCCCTGAGTGCTCTGAACTTACAGGATGACTCATAAGACTTTGGTACACTACCCACCCTTTTTCTGTAAAAACCCCGTGTATTTTAATTTTTCGTACAAAAGAGTGCCCTGGACGTACTTCGTGTTCTCTCTTGGTGTGAAGTGTTAAGCTAACTCTGTGTGTTGCAATTTTAGATCGCTTTGTCGAAGGGCTGGTGCACAACCCATTAAGAGAACACTTACTTCCAACGCCACTGGCAAATACCACCGACTTGAAGAAAACTGCGCTCCGATTTATTACGGCTGATAGAATTTCACACCCATCAGAAGTCCAACAACATTCAGTGATCACAGTAGGACAAACCATAGAACCGAGTCATCTAGATAGTCTTCCGAAAGCCGCAGCGATCGCGCACATTCCCAGCCGGGCAATTAGTCGTGGGGCATCAAACTTGACTTGGAACAGACGACCACCGCATAACTATTACCACAGTCATCAAACGGGATGTATGTAATGCAGGCGGTTTGGCAGGAACACTTGGAGATGTGGAAAAAACCGACCTCGTAATCCAGGTGAGCCAAACGTTCATTATTTATCTTCCTGTCATGTTATTCATATAAGCCCCATCACCCTGAAAGGTAGAGTGCAAGGTGTGGTGGTTGACATACTGCTAGACACTGGAGCTTCCTCATACCTCATCAAGGAAGCGTTCCAAAGAGACTGCACCATAAAGTCCAGCAAAAACGACGCTGCTCAGAATTATTAACAGCTAGTGGGAACCCCCTTAAAGTGTGCTATAAGACAGTATTAGACTTAACAGTAGAGAAGTGTTCGGTTCGTCATGAATTTCGCATCCGTACAGTAGGACGGAGTGAACTACTGCACAGTACACTCGTCCTTTAGTCAGCAAACGGATATCTCGCCTTCGCCATAAGTGACGCAGGTTGGCAAAATCTAGTCGAGCCTTCTGTATCCGAGCTGAGATTTCGTCAGTCACCAGGCCATCCGCACTGATGAGACTCCCCAGACAAGTGAAGCGGTCAACACGTTCAACTACTTCACTCCTTATCAATAGTTCAGGTGCCAATGCAACCCAGTCTTGAAGCAACATTTTGCATTTCGAGGGGGAAACCGCATCACGAACATGCTTGCATTGTTGCTTATGGTGGTCAGAAGACTCTGCATTTTATCAGCATCTTCACCAAGTAGGACTATATCATCGGCATATTCTAAGTCAATAAGCGAGCCACCTGGTAAAATGTCTACTCCTGAAATTTCAGACGAGGATAAGGTTATATCTAGGAGCATGTATATGATAAAATTAAACAAGAATGGAGAAAGTGGACATCCCTGACGGACACTACTTGGAGTGAAGAATTCCGTTGACAGTTCGCCATAAGCTCTCACTCGACCAGTGGTGTTCGAGTAGAGAGCTTGTATGAGGTTAATGTACTTATTTGGTACACCTTTCAACGACAGACACTGCCACAGAACCTCACGATCCACTGAGTCAAATGCCGCCTGTAGGTCCAGGAAAACAACTATTGTAGGACGCCTAAATGTGTGTCTGTATTCCAGCACCTGTCGTAGTGTGAAGATGTGGTCTATACAACCACGTCCAGGTCGAAAACCAGACTGGTTTTCTCTAGTCTGCTCTTCACGAGCTCTAGTTAAACGTCTAAGTATAATCGAGGCTAACAATTTAGATACTATATTAGTTAGACTTATTCCCCTGTGATTTTCAAAGAAGACTTTTGTCCTTTCTTATAGATTGGGACAATCAGTGATTGAGACCAGTCGGATGGGATTACGTCCAGTTCCCAGATTCTACCTAGGATCTCGGTCAACCAAGTTGCTAAACCTGGACCACCATCCTTAAATATCTCAGGGGTCAGTCTATCAGGATCCGCAGCTCGCCCTCGCTTCAGATTTACTAACGCTTTTTCAATTTCATTAAGACTAGTGGGAATTACGTCGATTTGCCATTCAGGATGACTGGAGATCGTGGTTAACCAAAGAGTGGCTCGGGGCCAATTAAACTGATCGCTGAAGTGTTCTGCCCATCGATCCAGTCTCCTGGATTGAGAATAAATAATAGTCCCGTCATTTTCTGAGAGAGTCTCACTTACACTAGGATTCCTAATACCAGTTTCCTTGATAAGTCAGAAAAGTTGTCTACTGTTGCCGATCGCCGCTGCCTTTTCCATCGCTCTTACTTTCGCCACCCACCACTGTTCACTGTCGTTGCGCAGGCTTTTTATGAGTCTGCGCCTAAGCTGACTTCGTTCTTTATCATGTTCAGAGCCAAGTGGGGTGAGTTTTCGGGCATCCATCAGTTCGGTGGATGATACAGAGATCCATAGCTTCATCCTAGCCTTATGGTTTACCTTACTAGCAGATATCACTGCTGTTTCCACAGGCTTTTTAATATCATTCCAACCTGCCTCCGGAAGGGAATCACTTACATGGTTGCCTAACTCTGTTTCTAGTTGTTCCTGGAATATTTTCTTAGCCTCATTATCATTAAGCAGAACCCAAAGAGGTTTCCTTGTGGTGTCTTTTCTACGTTCAGTAAGCCTCAAACAAATACGAGCTAGCACTATGGTATGATCTGAATCTAGACTTGTGCCGCAGAACAAACGACAATCCTGCTCTTCACGAGCACTAGTAAGGCCTCTAAGTACAATAGAGGCTAACAATTTAGAAACTGTTTTAGTTAGACTGATTCCCCTGTGACTGTCACAAGAAGACTTTTGTCCTTTCTTATAAATTGGGACAATCAGGGATTGAGACCAGTCAGATGAGATTGTGTCCAGTTCCCAGGTTCGACTTAAGATTTCAGTCAATCTAGCTGCTAAACCTGGACCACCATCCTTAAATATCTCAGGGGTCAGTCTATCAGGATCCGCAGCTCGCCCTCGCTTCAGATTTACTAACGCTTTTTCAATTTCATTAAGACTAGTGGGAATTACGTCGATTTGCCATTCAGGATGACTGGAGATCGTGGTTAACCAAAGAGTGGCTCGGGGCCAATTAAACTGATCGCTGAAGTGTTCTGCCCATCGATCCAGTCTCCTGGATTGAGAATAAATAATAGTCCCGTCATTTTCTGAGAGAGTCTCACTTACACTAGGATTCCTAATACCAGTTTCCTTGATAAGTCAGAAAAGTTGTCTACTGTTGCCGATCGCCGCTGCCTTTTCCATCGCTCTTACTTTCGCCACCCACCACTGTTCACTGTCGTTGCGCAGGCTTTTTATGAGTCTGCGCCTAAGCTGACTTCGTTCTTTATCATGTTCAGAGCCAAGTGGGGTGAGTTTTCGGGCATCCATCAGTTCGGTGGATGATACAGAGATCCATAGCTTCATCCTAGCCTTATGGTTTACCTTACTAGCAGATATCACTGCTGTTTCCACAGGCTTTTTAATATCATTCCAACCTGCCTCCGGAAGGGAATCACTTACATGGTTGCCTAACTCTGTTTCTAGTTGTTCCTGGAATATTTTCTTAGCCTCATTATCATTAAGCAGAACCCAAAGAGGTTTCCTTGTGGTGTCTTTTCTACGTTCAGTAAGCCTCAAACAAATACGAGCTAGCACTATGGTATGATCTGAATCTAGACTTGTGCCGCAGAACAAACGACAATCCTGCTCTTCACGAGCACTAGTAAGGCCTCTAAGTACAATAGAGGCTAACAATTTAGAAACTGTTTTAGTTAGACTGATTCCCCTGTGACTGTCACAAGAAGACTTTTGTCCTTTCTTATAAATTGGGACAATCAGGGATTGAGACCAGTCAGATGGGATTGTGTCCAGTTCCCAGGTTCGACTTAAGATTTCAGTCAATCTAGCTGCTAAATCTGGACCACCATCCTTAAAAATCACAGGGGTCAATCTATCAGGACCTGCTGCTCGCCCTCGCTTTAGATTTCTTATAGTTTTTTCAACTTCATAACGGTTCGGATGGCTTGCTTCAGTGGGAGCGTAGGCAGATATGACGAAGAGGCAATGGCGAGTGTCCCTATCTTTCTGAATCCTTACTGTCCCGTTCAGTCGGACAGCACGCAATCGACTATCTACTATGATCCAATCTATGAGCGCTAGTTCTGCCCAATGACTCAATACTATACCTACATCAACGAGACCTCGAGTAGCAGTATCAGGGCTACCGGATACACGAAGAATAAATAGAGCTGTTTCTTTGTTTTGACAAAGTGAAATCAGATTAATAAATTTACTAGGATCCTGTATGCGCGTCTCCGAGACGCAGCATACATCGATGGCACGAGATTCTAAAGTCGTAGTTAATGATGCCTGTTGCCCTATTTGACATAATGTCCGGACATTAAATGCTCCAACATGTAGTCTAGAGCGGGGTTTAAGGAGACCAGGAACGACTCTTCGTGAACTCGTGTCGTCTGCATTAGCTGTGCATTGTGATAAATGAATGTGAGGAGAGTTAGTCGTGGAGATAAGAGAGGTACTGGGAGGTGTAGGAAGGATTTGATTTTGAACAATTTGGTCTCGCGTGCTGTTACGGGTATGAGGGCGGTTGTCACTTCCCGGCTGCCCACACCGTGGAAGGTTGTTTCTTGAGGGACCTGAAAAGGAAGATAGATTAGTGTTGGTCTTAGAGACCTGGATGTGTGACCGCAGAGCCCAAGGGACAACTGCTTGAGGCCGGTCACGCACGGCCTTTTTATGAAAGGTTTTTAGAGTATTAGCTCCGCCTTTGAAAGCCCTTAGTGGGCACCCTTACCGACGGAGACGGAAATCCGTAAGATAGTGTGAGGTGTGACATTTTTAGGGTCGAATTTTTCTAACCGCTCCCTTCCTTGTGAGAAGGCGACATCACTGCAGATGCTGGTTGTCTGAGGGAAACACCTTACTGCTGTCACACCCCTCTGCAGT